TTAAACCATTATATTCTGTTGGATAAATTTCAAAGTAAATTGCAGACTTCAGTGTATTTTCCCCTACTTCATAGTGCATATCTTTAATTAGAGTTCAGTATTCATTTATGGGTTTTTTTTGTTGCATTTAAAAATTATGTAGAAATATTGAATAACTATGTTGTATACCAGGAACTAATATAGTGTTGTAGGTCAGTTATATTTGAAAAGAAAAACAAACAAGCAAAATCATAGAAAAAGAGATCAGATTTGTGACTACCAGAGGTGGGGGCAGGATATAGGAAAAGATCATTAATAAAAAGTTCCAGGAATGAAGAAGCCAGATGTTGAAGGGTGGCAACTGGGGGGTTAAGGGGAGGGGGAATTGGATAAAGGGAGTCAAAAGGTACAAATTTCCAGTTAAATGATAAATAAGTACTGGGTACATAATGTACAATATGATAAATATAATTAACACTGCTAGACATTATATATGAAAGTTGTTCAAGTAAATTTTAAGAGTTCTCATCACAAGGAAAACTATTTTTTATTCTATATGAGATGATGGATGTTCCCTGAACTTATTATGGTAATCATATGTAAGTCCAGTCATTATGCTGCACACATTGAACTTTTTGAGTGCTGTATGTCAATCACATCTCAATAAAACTAGAAGGAAAAAATTTTTAATTAAATTATATACAACAAAATGCATAGATCTAAAGTATGCATTTGCTGAGTTTTGACAAATGCGTATCACTGTGTAACCCAATCCCCTATTAAGATGTAGAACGTTACCAGGGTCCCAGAAAGTTCCCTCCTGTCCTGTCCCACTCAGTCTCTGCCCCTCTCAAGGCAATTGCTGTTCTGATATTTTCCATCATAGATTTGTTTTGCATTTTCTAGAATTTGATATGAATCAAATCAAGTAGGTATTCCTGTGTGTAAGATTTCTTTCACACTGTTAAAGGTTTTTGAGCCTCATCCATGTTTTTGCATGTTTCAATGAAGTTTTCATGTTTATTGCTGAATAGTATTCAAATGTATGACTGTGCCATGGTTTATTCCAATCTCCTGCTGATGGACCCAGGGTATTTCCAGTTTTTGCTATTATCTTCTCAGGTGCTAATTGACCTTTTTTAGTATCTTCTTTTGTGAAATGTCTGTTCAAAACTTCTGCTCAGTTTTTAATTTAATTTTATTCTTGAGTTGGAGGTGCTCTTTACATAATTTGGATAATATTCCTTTGTCTGATATGTTTTGAAAATAATTCTGCATTGGCTACTCATTTTCTAAATACTATGAGTGAAATTTTAAAATTTTGCTGAAATTTAGTTTATCAGATTTTGATGCTTATTAGGTTCTATGACTTGCCCAAGAAACATTTGCCTACCTAAAATCATGAAGATAGTCTATATTCTCTCTAAAAGCTCTAAGGTTTTAGCTTTTACTTTAGGTCTGTGATCCACTTTGAATTAATTTTTGAATGTCGTGTTAGATGGGGGTCATGGTTTATTTTTTTCCCAGATGTATAGTCAGTTATTTCAGCACTATTTATTGAAAAGATATTCATTTCTCCATTAGCTTGTCTTGATGCCTTTGTTAAATATCAGATAACTTTGTAAGTTATGCCAGTACCACCCTAGCTTGATTACTTAACTTTTTATAGTAAGTTTTGAAATTAGGTAGTCAAAGTTTAATTTTTTTCTTTCTATTTTAAAGTTGCTTTGCTTATTCTAGGTCATTGACTTTCCACAGCTTGTCAATTTGTAGAAAAAAGCCCTCTGAAATTTTAACAAGGTTGCATTAAACCTACACATCAGTTTGGGGAAATATGACATCTCAACCATATTAAATCTTCCAATTCATGAAATTTTATATAATAAAAATACATAATTCTTATTATAAAAAATTTCCTCAGCAATGTTTTGTATTTTTTTAGCCTGCAGATTTTGATGTTACTTTGTTAAAATTATTCTTATTTTCTAATTACAAATGTATTTCTGATGCTATTGTAAATGAAATTTTAAAAGTCATTTTAAAAAAATTGCTGAATACTATGTATGTAAAAATGCAAATTACTTTGTATATTCTTCTTATACTCTGCAAATTTTCCAAATTTGCTTTTTAGTTTAGTAGTTATTTTCTAGCTTCCTTAGAATTTTCTAAATGAGGAATTATGTCAGCTGCAAATAGAGATAGTTTTCACTTCTTCCTTTCTAATCAGTATGCCTTTTAATTCTTTTACTTGCCTTATTGCTTAGATGGGCTCTCTGTTGAATAGGAGGAGTGAGAACTGGCATTTTTGTCTTATTCCTTACTTATTGAGAAAGTGCTCATTATTTCACAATTCAGTATGATGTCAGTTATTGGTTGTTTTGTAGATTCTCTGTATCATATGAAGGAAATTTTTTTCTAGTTGACCAAGAGTGTTAATCATGAGTGGGTGTTATATTGTGCCAAGTGCTTATTCTTCACCTTTTGAGATTATCATATGGATTTTTGTTTTTAGTTTGAATGTGGCAAATTACATAAACTGATTTTTAAATGTGAAACCAATCCTGCATACCTTGGATAACCCTGCTTGCAATTGTGCATTATTCTTTTTATGTTTTGCTGAAAACAGTTTGGGTTTTAAAAAAAATGATGTTTGTATGTATGTTTTTGAGAGATGTTGATTTGTGCTTTTCTTTTTTTCACATCTTTTATCAGGTTTGCTATTAAGATTGTGACAGCCTCATAAAATAAGTAGTTAAGTTTTTTTATCTTTTTTATTTTATGATAGAGTTGGTGTGAGTTTTTTTTCTCTAAATGTGTGACAGATTGCATCAGTGAAACCATCAAGGCCTAGAGTTTGGGATGATGTTTAATAATGAATTCAATTATTTAATAGGGGTATTCATATTTTCTATTTTATCTTGTCTTAGTCATGGTAAGTTGTCATTTTCAGGAAATTTTTTCCTTTTATCTCAGTTATTAAATTAGCATAAAATTATTCAGACTATTCTTTCATTATCCAATTAATTATATTTTTAATGTTCATTTTTATACAGAATTTTAAAAAATTATAACAGGATAGTTATTTTTTTTGCTGTACTTTTAAGTTTATTTTTTGGTTAAATAAACCTTTAATTTTAGAATAGTTTTAGATTTACAGAAAAGTTGCAAAGATATTGTAGAGAGTTCCCATATACCTCTCACCCAGCTTTTCCTATTACTTGCATCTTATATCACTATTGTACATTTGCTCCACTAAGGAACTAATATCAGTTCATTACTATTAACGAATCTCCATACCTTGTTCAAATTTTAACAGTTTTTCAATGCTATCCTCCAGAATCATCCAGAATACCGCATTACATGTCTCCTTAACCTTCCCTGGTCTATGATAGTTTCTCAGAATTTCTGTTCTTGATTTTTTGTTTTTGTTCTTGTTTTTGATGACCTTAACAGTTTTGAGATCAAGCTTTTTTTTTATAGAATATCTCTCATGTTGGGTTTCTTTGAAGTTTCTTCTCATGATTCGTATATGGTTATGGAAGGAAGATCACAGGGTTTCGTGAAACGCCATTCTCATTACATCATATCAAGAGAATATACCATCAGCATAACTTAGCACTGGTGCCGTTAACCTTGATCACTCGGCCAATGTAGTGCTCGTCAGGATCTCTATGGTAAAGTTACTTTTTTCATCCTTCCAGACTCTTACTCTTTGGAAGCAAGTCACTAAGCACCGCTCATACTCAGGGTGGAGAGTTAAGCTCCATTTACTTGAGGGGGCTATATCTACACAAATTATTTGAAATTTTTCTGTAGAAGAGATCTATCTCTTTTATGGGAGGGTTTTTTTTCCCTTTACTATACTGTAAAAATTTTAAATTTCTAATTTTATTATATTGTCATCAAGTAGCATGGCCAGATGGTCCCCAGTCCTCCCCACCGACCTTCCCTTTCTCTGCAATGCAGATTAGAGGTTCAGTTATATGGGTGAGCAAACTTTCTCTAATCAGTTTTGTTGGTTGGTATAAACATTGTGGAATTTATGAGAACTTGTTGCCATTTTGTTTCCTTCTTCACATGAGGCTACTGGTCAGTAAAATAAAGATAATTTCTCAACGTGTGCCTCTGGTGGGACATTGACACTTCTGAATCCCAATATGGAAGTTAGAAGGCTGCCTGGCAGACAGTATCATAATGCCTCTTAGAAAGCGTTATCAGCTGGGGGTGAGCGTTCATGTTTGAAACACTTACTGAGTTTGCCGAGTGACATGACTGTACTGTTTTTGGTGTAGGTGGAAGCGAGTAATGCTACTTTTGAATCACAGTATAACAATGAAGGCTTTCAAAGAGGAGGAAGTAGAATGGTAGGTGCTATTTTGGCTCTGAACAAAAATATCCAGTGAACTCTGCCTGCTGCCATCACAAAGGCACCTGGTGAGAAACACCTGCAGTTCCTCTATCCTACTATTAAAGAACTTGATGTCAGGAAATAAAACCCTTCCAATGACACATTCTGAAATGAGAAGGTACAAAGTCTTACATACTTAGGAAGCTGTAAAGCTTTTGCGATAGTGGCTTATATCAACTGTGGTGATAATGGCGTAGATATTTTTAATGACATTAGTCATGAACTCCCTACCACTCTTCAGAATTAAATGGTATTAATATTTTGGTTGACACTCTTTCAATGTATTTTCCAGGCCTGTACACAGTGTATGTATACTTTTACAATGCTATAATCATAGCAGACGTATTATTTCAGGACAAATGTCATGAACAGCCCTTCATATTATTAAAAATTCTTCTACAACATCATTTTCATGGCTCCAGCATTGCAACGAATGAATGCACTGTAATACTGATTCTCAGATTATTAAACTGTCACAAATAGAACATCTGGAGAGTCATCTTTGACATATCACTGATTATTTCCTTAGAGCAAAGTTTCTCAAAAATGGCACTATTGGCATTTGGGGAACGATGCTTTTTCTTTTTTTCTTTTTTTTTTTTTTTTATTGTAGGAGACTGTCCTATGCACTTTACGATGTTGGGTCACACCCCTCGCCTCTCTTCACTAGATGCCAGTAAGACCTCTATTCCCCATTGTGACAACCAAAACTGTCTCCAGACATTGCCAAATATCCCCTGGGCGCCAAAATTTCTCCCCCATTGAAAACCATTGCCTCAGAGTAAGTTCTTTGAAGAATTTGTCACATAAATGATATGCACAATTTAAAGTTTAAAAACAATTTATGTGGGTTTTATTTTCAGTTTGAAGAAAGTAATATGAGGATATAAAGAGATAACTTGAAAATTTGTGAACAAATATTTCTCCTGAACCTCTCCTACCAAGGTTCTTAGAGTTCTCTGTGCGCTGGGTTAAATAGACTGGGATCCTCCTCCACTTCAGCTACAGGAAAATCCTTCCGCGTAGTAGTAGAGCCATACAGTGCGAAGACAGTGGGAGGAGAAGGCGCAGCTCCCAAACTGCCTCTCAGCTTTTTGACTTTTGTGACCTCACAGGCTATAACTGCACTTAACACGTTTTTGACCCCTAATATTCTCCTTTTCCAGGCAGTAAAGAGGATTAAGTGTTTAGATAATGGAATCAGTCAAACTGTTGCAGGTAGATGTATTCGGTGTCCAGGTTCCTGTCTCGTCCCAGAAAGAATTCAGAGACAAGACGTGGAGGTTAAGAAAGTAAAGCGAGGATTTACTAAGGGGTGGATAGTACACTCTCAAGGGGAGACGGGGCAGGCTCATGTTACCAACCACCCTGAATTTTTTTGGTTCAATAGGGTGTAAAAAGGAATGGGCGGAATATTCATTGGGGAGGGGAGGGTTTGGGGTCGTATTCCCTGATTTTCACTCCAACTCCACCTTCCCAAGGGAGGAGGGATTTTTGTCCTTATTTAGTCTGAATCAGAAGTGTCACGGTGCATGATGGGTACTTCTACTCTGCAAGGCTACTCTTACTGATATGAGGTCATAATGAGCAAAAGGTTACATTTGGACACGGGAAATTCCTGCCTTTTCCCGCCTTTCTTTGTCAGCCTCCAGGCCACTCATCATCCCCAAAAGGCGTGACCACTTATCAGCCCAGAGGTTCCTGCTTTTCTTTCTCTGCCCAGGGACCGCTGATGCCTACCATGATGTATGGTTTCCTGTATTTGGCCTGTGCCCCTCCTTTCTGCCCCCTCCCTGCCATGTGGCCTGTGTCCCCCTTTCTCTGCTCATATCTGGCTGTCTGCCTGTCTAACAAAACCAGATCCCAGTATTGCCCTCACCAGTTTCTAACCGGCTGAACTTGGGCCTCTTTCATCCTCAGTTTCTGTACCTGAGAACGACCTACAGAGTTGTTGGGAAAATTAAATATAAGATGTTTTAAATCTTGGCACCTAGAAAGCACTCATCAAATACTGTCCCCCCTTTTAAGTTGAGAGAAGATTATTCATTTTCTCTGTTTAATTCTATACCCCGAGGCCAGCTGAGGAGGCATTTCAGCAGCAAGAGTTGTCCTGAAACTTTTTCATGGGTACAATAACTCATCTTGTGATAGTTCACAAATGTAAATTTTACAATTGTGTAGGAGACACCGTGATAGTTGATATTTGAGTTATTTGGAACAGTGTCCCATTGGGTATGTGGGAAGAAAATACTAGAAGCTTGATTTGCTATATACTTTAAATTTCATCCATTTTAGTTTCTACTTCTGTATTTGCTAATGTTAAAATATACTAGTGCAACGTGATGTATATGACTTATAAATAAATAAAAATATGTTGAGGATGCTTGTTCAAAATTTCCTTGCTGCTGGGTGTGAGATCTACATTTATTTCAGAGACCATTGACCTGGCAGGTAGCTCTTTACTGTTTCTGTGATTTGGGGTGGAAGAAGGGAGCCATAAATCTCACTGCCTGTCAAAATCCCCACCATCCATGGAGGGTTATTTCAACATCGTTATGCGTGATGTTTCATCATTCTTTTGGTTTTCAATAACAGTCAAGATATGTTTTAAATGTTCCCACCCCAGTCTTTCTTTCAAGATTGACTGAAGTAGGGAGCAAGATGAAGCGCTTCCCTATGTCACTGATAGTACCTGGAAGACCGTATTTCCCTCTGGTTTGAAAATGGGAAAATAAAATACAAGATTCTAACTTTCTCTCTGGGATAACCTAAGCTAGGTATTAGGGGACAGCAGTGTCCAAATTAAACCTTCTCCTTGTCCCTTCCTTCAATTCTCCCTGGAAATAAGGGTATCTAAAAGATAATTAGATGTATCGTAAGATCGGTGGCATGTAAAATGATGTCAGGATTTAGAAGGTGTTGGAAGGGAGTAAGTTGTGTGCGTTTGTGTGTGTGTGTGCACGCACACTTGTGTTTGAATAGGAGAACCAACATTCATAGGTTCCTGGTGTCTGACAGACTCTCTACACTGGACATTTACACCGTCCATGTTCACCCTCATACAAGCAAGACAAGGGAGAACAGAATTTCTTGTCCTCCTCACAGTCAACATTTTTAACAAGTAAAGAAAAGATAAAGTGGAAAGTTAAGGTTCTGTTTTGTCCTACCTTGACCCTTCTCCCACTCCACAGACTACCAGTATTTTGTGTATTTTGGGAGTACTTCCAGGAATTTCTATGTATACAGGGAAAAAATATGTATATACCTTTTTCACAAATAAGAATCATAATGTACAAATGGAAATCATATTATAGATATTGTTACCAAACTGCTTTTCCTCACTCTGCAGTAAAATTAGGATATTTTGCATGTCAGTATATATAGATTTACCTCATTCTTTTTAGAGGCTTCATGGCATTTCACTGCATGGATTTACTATAATAAGTTTAGCTACTTTCTTATTCAACACTGTAATATTTTCTGCATGTATCTTTGAAGACTTTTCTAGGGATACATTTATATAAATGGAATTACTGGCTCAAAATGTATGCGTGTTTAAAATTTAGATCCATTAAGAGTACCTCAATTTATCCACCTACAAATGAGACATTAAAATTTTTTATATAGTTTAAATTTTATGGGTGTAAAAAGGGCATTTAGTTTTTCTCTTAATTTTTTCTTTCAAATAATGAGTGATATTGAGCATCTCAAAGATGTCATTTGTACACATTACTGAGGTTAAGGCTCTTTTGTATTGATTACATTGTAAACTTTTTCTATACTTAGGGTCACCAGAGAAGCCAGAGTGGAGACTGCGGGGAGTATGGGTTTGAATGAACTTTGGCTGCTCTATCAAGCAAGCTGACTGCTGAGGAAACATCAGAAGCTTTGCCCGAGTGACTCATCACCCAAATCCAACAGAGGTAATAAAATAACTTGCATTGCACAGCCCTTTGGCTATTTAGTTGGTTGTGTGAGATCAATGCTGCCCACTGTCTCTCTGGATTTTGCTTTGGAAAAGAGATTTATTGGTTAGACTTCACATTACAATGCAGTCAGGGGCTCTGGGACCCGATTCCCAGTATTCAGAGGCATAGGGAAAAATTATTTAACATCTTGGCCTCAGGGAACAATATCTACTTTATGGAATTGCATCAGGCATCAAATTCTATGGGGATATACTGCTGTCCATTGCATTAACTATCTTTCATGTTGTTTCATTATTTTCTGAGGCTTTACTTTGTATTGGATGGTGAAAAGCTTGCGGCTAGAGATAACCTAGGTGACAGTTTTAAGAGGCTTGTGAAATAAAAGTGTGACAGGCCATGCATGTAGATTATTAGATGTAAAATGTATAACATAGCTTTGTATATGTAGTGTTACTTGGATTGGACTCATGTGCTATAATTATGGTTTTAAGTTTATGACTGTCTTTTCCATGAAATTCAGATTGACTAGTTTATATTCTCTAAACATTTCTTGTTTTACTCTTTCATTAGATTCTGCTCTTAAAATTCACTGCATGGTCTCCACAGACAAGAAGCTAAGGTTCTGCATTGCTACAGCCTTTCAGTTAAAAGACAGGGATACACATTTTCCTTCATTTTGCTCTTAGGCTGCCAGCATGTTTTATAGTCTCCCACACACTTTTCCTTTTTCAAAGACATTTTCAAGTTTAATAATATATTTTTAAAAAGTCAGATAATTTTCAGGTAATAAATTCTGGAATCCTGCAGACTGAAAGAAATACAAAAATTTTTAAAAACCCATGTAACAAGTCATTTACCATGCCTATCGAAAAATTACAGCTACCCATTAGCAAGTTGCATTATTATAGAATTGCTAATATTACCTACTTTTTAAAAGCATTGAAATAAACTTGCTTGGAGGTGATGTTATTTACTAAAAAAAAGCAGAATAAGGCATCTATCTCTTTATGTTGGTTTAAAATAGAAGTATATTTTATGGGACATTTTAAAGAGTAATCTTAACAGGAGGGTCTTTTCCTATATAAATGTCTTACAAGTTTGCACTGTGTAATATGGGAGTTTTTCCTGATAATTTCTGGTTTCAAGAATTATAGCTCTTAGTTAAAATGTACTGATATAAAGGTTTCTTAGCTTTTCTTTTGAAGATACAGTGACAAAAGAAAATCAGACCTTTCATAGTATTCTTTGTACTGCATCTAGTCTGCTCAAATGGAATCATCTATTTCAAAAGTTATTGTGAAAGGAAAACTAAAAAAGAATAAATTGCATGTAATTGTGGTGAAGAATAAACTTTTCCTGATCAGTTAGAAAATAGCAAAGACATACTTGCTTTGTGTGCCTGGATAATCAATGGTGAATAAATAATATTATTACATACAAGGCAGAATCTTTTAAAAATTTATTAAGTTGTTCTTTACTGAAGGGCATATGAGCATTGCATAATGTCTGACTCCTGCCAGAGAGAGACTCTGTCACTCGGTAGAACCATTTTTATAGTCTTTTCATGTACTAAATCAGCATTTTTTGATTAATTTTTAAAATTAAAATATAGTCAGTTTACAGTGTGTCAGTTTCTGGTGTACAGCATATTTCAGTCATACATATAC